CTTTATTCCATTACTAAATATTTAATAATAACCCACTTTGAAACGTGCAAACAAGATTTTTTTCTTTTTCGTTCCTTCTTTTAACAAATGCTCTTCAAACATTTCAGAAATCAAGCTGTTTGTCTGCCGTAGAATGAATGACGCGAAGCCTTCAAAACGAAATTTTAGCGTTTTTCAAAGAAGTTTATTTTGCAGAATTTTGGACTTTATAAGGGATTAAAAGATGCCAATTCTTTCGTGTCCTAAGTATGATTTGCTTCATGGCTGTTACTGTGGTGTTGTAATGGACATATCCAAATCGGCAGTTGGCCCGGATGACTGTTGGGTATGCGCCGTAGTGGAACCATTTCAGCATCGGTTGGCTTGTCGGGGTGCATTATGGGTAGATGGTATTCCCTACCACAGCAGATGCGTTGCATGTACGGAGACAGGGCCGTGCGAACCTCTTCACGACAAACACAGAACAAGATGAACACGACCACGCCCTGCAACGGAAGCAACCGATTGCAACGCACCAATCTATAATTTGGTTATGCTGACTCAAGATATCACAGTGCACTGTTGAGTCCATCACAGTAATAGATGAACAGGCAAAGTTCCTCGTTGATTAAGACTGGTTGACTTGTGATGGAGTTGAGTATAGCCTGAACATAAGATCTTTAAAACTGAAACTGCCACTCCCCCACTCCAATTTTCACCCTGACATCTTGTTTAATCGATTAAATAACCATACCGCAGAACAGGGTTGGTTAAAGAGAGGGCACAGTTTTGCAACTCCTAACATAATAACAATTTGTCACCCACCTGGAAGGAGTTGGCCAGACAGAAGATGAGCTGGAAGGCGAATGCCGCCTCGTTGATGACCAGGAACCCAAAACACCACGTCAAACCCAAGAGGACAGAGATACCCACAGCATTCTGGAGGCGTTTGGAGATCTGCTGGGAGCGTGATATCTCTTTGACCTTCAGGAGACTACGCATGACCAAGACGAAAGTGACGATGTTATGGATGAGGATGAGACCGATGGGGGTAAGGAGACCGATGTACAACACAAGATCAGGTCGCAGGAAACAGCTAAAAGAAAAAAGCAACAGGCATTCCAAATATTTATGATCACACTGTTATAGAAGTGATTATTCAGACGGACGTCGCCCTATTTTCATCTCGATGTTTCCTTGTGACGTAAGCAAATCCAAGATAACATGGATAAAGAGATGGCGCTGTAGCACAACCCTCTTATTTTATTAAAAGATTAACTTACTAATGGTCGTTGATATAGTGATGTGTCGCTGCTGCTAACGTGATTGTCAATACTATCAGCGGTGATCCTAAAAAAGAATGGAAGCCGCGGCAGAGTGAAGATTACTTTCACCTACATTGCGTCCTCACATAATTCAGAATAATACTCTCATCATGGGATAGGACAAGGAAATGTGTGGCGTTCATCAACGACTTACCCCAAGCAACGAGGCTCGCCTTTAGCATGTATCGACGAGTGTCTTCTGGAAAGACCTTCACTGTGCTGACGTACATGTTCCTAGCTTCAACAGCCATCCACATCATAGTGGTCAGGGTCAAGTAGTGGAGTAAAGCACCAACAAACACACAACCACCTCCAGATCCCTGAAAACGAAGAGCATCTGTTAGCAAACACTACAGTGCACTATTTTGATGGAATGTTAAGGATTCAGTGCATTAGTATGATTGGCGTTTAGGTTTCAACACAAATAGAAAAACGATAAAATCTGTTTCTTTAAAATTTCGAGTGAAACCTGACATAATCCCTTTGGACTACATGTGTTATAGTGGTGACGGACGCATACCTTCAGGCAGCAGATATGAAGACATTGTAGTAATTGCTCACCTTAGCATTGTCAACACCAGTCAAGAAAATGACATACAACATCAGCAAGGAGAAGCAGAAATGGATGAAAATCTGTCGGGATTTCCTTTTTCGCAGTTTCCTAAACACAAGAATAAAAACAATGACAAGTCACAGCTCCAGCGTCACTCAGCCAGTAGTAGACAACATTAGCCTAAGAAAAACATGTCAACATGATTTGCTTTGCTTCTCTAACCTGATAGTGAGGTAAATGACCATCGTTATAGTCAGAGCTATGATGGACAAAACACAGCCGACCTGACTGATGATATCAAGCGCTTTCTTAGGACTCCGATCTCCATCATCTGGTGCTTGGCCCTTCACGTCCTTTAAACAAACAAAATATGAAAATTCGCGAATGTAATGCCAATGCTTCAATTTAGTCATGATGCTCTCTGTCTAAATTTCTAAAATCGTATAAGAATTCTTTTTTTCATTTAAAGTGCGCACCACAAGGATGGCAAAGTTGGTGGCGTGGGTGCAGTTACACTTGACTCTGTCATTGGTCGCTTCAACAAGCTCGCATCCAGCCGTTGTCCAATCACCAATTCCGTCTTCAAGCTCAAAGTTCCACGACACGCAATGGACACTGCTTGATTCCTCCTGATTTTGGAAACCAAAAGATGTACAAATTGACAACACTGGAATGAAATTGTGTTCTCAATGTGACTGTTTATTGAATATAAGCAATGTGAGATGGATCTCCATGGAATGATGGAAATCGATGACGTGGAAATTGGACGGAACGGAAAGCTGCATGGGGAATTAAAAACGTGTCGGGAAAGGAAATTTTAAAAAACACGAATTGCAATCTGTAGAATAGTGTGAAATTACTTTGATATTTTCTGTATGTAAGTTAATAGCTGT